TCGTCCTGATTGTAAAACAGGATTTTGGACCCTGTTGAAACAGTGGCTCCGATCCAAAACTTTCTTCAGCTGAGTAGTGACAATCAACACAAGTCCCAGATTGAGCCCCAGATTGGTATATGTGTGAAGGGCAACTTTGTTTTTCTCGGATTCTCAGAACTTCTTGTGTTTGAACTGCAGACGTGCCCTTTGAAAACCAGAGAGATTTATTTATAATTGGCTAGATTTGCAAGCTTGCTTTATTACATTATTTCCTGCCCAGAGTTTCTTAATACTGAATAGAAATTATTATGAAAACTTTTTACTTCAGGGCATTTGTAGTCTAGCTGGTCTGAAGCAAAACCTGTCATTGCTGGTCCAGTTTTATTTCTGGAAAAATCTGCTAAACTGAGCCAGAGTTCAAGGGGAACACATACATATATAACATTCATGCACGCACTCAGTAAGTTAGTTCCATCTCCTGTTGTGGGACTTTTAACTTAATGCTTTTAAACTATACATGAACAGTTGCTTTGTTAACATGATGAACGTCTTTTTTCTTGCAGTGTCCTGTAAAGATTATTTTGCAAATGTATCTCAGAGTCAGGAATGTCCCTATTTTTGTTTTCCCAACTCATTGGCTGTCAGTGGAGTAAAAGTGTTTGGGGGGTTGGGAATCAGAGTGAGCATGAAGTGTGGGATTTCAGCCTAAAATGTAGCATGGAATCTTTACCTCTGAGCAGAACTGTAGTATAGTATGCCAGAAGACAATTCAGGCTTGGCCAAGTAGGGGTTAGCTGCTATTATTCTGGCTTTTTGTTACCAATTTTTTATGCTAAACCAGTAAGAACAATAAAAAAATCAGCTCATTTTAGAGATGGTAAAGAAGGTCAGGGAGTTCGTACTTACCTGTGATTTCCTGGTTCTGGATGTGTGACATCTTCCATATACTGAGAGATCTCCAGAGCTCTGCATGATCTTCCTTTACTACTATAAGGGACTTTACCCACAATAGCAACAAGCTTCACAGGCACAGCTTTAGAAATATGCAAGAACTCCATCCAAAGCCTATTGAACTTGAAAGTGCATTTTCTAGATTTTAATGGGGTTTCAATTAGATTGTCAGGGAACTTAGTGAAGCCGTTTGTGATGTTTTGTGTGGTAACAATCTGCAGGTCAAGCCTCTGACCGCACTTCAGCAGTTTGAAACTCGAAAAGATCTCAGTGTGGAAAGTCTGTGCTTCATTAGCCTGCTTTAAGGGGAGGAGGCTTAACATGCAATAGAAATGAGTATAAAACTGCTTACTTAAGAACATTTCTAGGCACAATTTGTTGCAGTAATCCATTTTTTCTTCCTGTTGGGGGCTTCCTTCCCAGCCCTTTATGGATTGAAAAAGACTTCATCTCCTTAAGCCCTGCAGGATGAATTGAGATCAGGACAAGAATGCATTGGAAAAGGAAGTTTCCATCCCACAAAAACTTCAGAATTTCAACACCAGTTCTAGTTTCAAACCAAGACGAGGGTTTGACATTTCAAAGCTTTACAGAGAGTAAAATATTCCCTAGGTCTCTGATTCAAAGATGTCACTATTTTCTTTCAAACTGTGTCCACCAAACCATTACTCTGAGCTGTACATTAGAGATGCAATATCCCTATTCACTCCTTTGCTTAGCAAGCTGATGAAGCATTTCCTTCTGTAGTGCTTACTTTCATGACGAGTCCTCGACCACTCCCCAGTTAGATGAGTATGCCCATGGGTTAGAGTCTCGGCAGGCTTTTCTAGCTCTACAGAATAAGCGAATCGACTTTTTCTGATAGCTGGGTCTCCCCTAGAGTGTCACATCTTTGGCATCCCTGGTAACAGGCATTCCAAAACCTCCTATATCTATGTTTCGTGCATTTTTCAGGTGAATGGTGAAAGAAAAAATTCTGCCTTCCTGTTCCTTGCTAACTCTGTGCAGATTTCTGGGGGGATGGTGACATATTTTCACCCATATGTTCATCTTTTGCAGTAGTTATCTACAGCCTTGAAGGAGAGGGAAAATAATATAATGGAAATTATATATTCTCAACTCAGTAAAACATGTTTCTTCTGCTCATAGGGACAGAAGTTGCTATTCTCATAATTATCTTTTTCAGGAGCACTTTTATTTTTTTTTTTTTGATCTTTTACCTTCATAAGGGTCCAGCCTACATAATGTTTCCAAGTAAGAGCTACTACAAAGTGATATAAGAGATTTAGAGTAGGGATTTTCATTTTAAAGAATCAGCGACTCCATTACAAACACTACCAACCTTTTGCTAAATGAAGTTACCCCAAAAAGATGGAAGAAGTATTTCCCTAGGTAGTGAAGAAAAAAAAAAAAACAAAACACTGGTGATCTTGGAATATTTTTTATTTCAGGAGTTGATTAATCATTCATAAGTGGGTTTTTTATGAAAAAGAGAAAAAAGCTCTGAAGAAACGTTGGGGATAAATAGGAAATTTAATTAATTTTGTTAAAATTTCTAATAGCATAAAATGATCGGAGAGACTACCAAGTACAGGAAGATTAAAACATACTTTGTTCATACCACACAAGTTTTGGTGTTCATAAGAGGTCTCCATTTTGCTCATACTTCCATTTCAGCAAAAGATATATTTTTATACTATACACTGGCAATGGGTGTCCAACTCAAAATGAGCAAAGAACCTCAATATAACTTCCTTTCACACCTGATATTTTCCTGGCAGTTTCCTCTACAAGTTGTGACTTAGCTCCAGATTACTCAATTTATAAATTAACTTTAATCAGACTACAGCCTATGGCAACATTTTAGCTGATGATTCATAAAGTTAAAAAGGCTTTAAAGTAGGGAAGGCTGGCTTTGAAACTGGTGGCCTCATACCTGGATTTAAGATTCAGCCCTTTTTGTATCCAGGCAGTTCATATGTTCTTTTCAAAATAAGCGAAGGCATACAGATTTGTATACAACTCTAGCTGCTGAGTGAATATAAAGTATGTTATGAGCAGATATGAAAGGGAATTCCAGCCTTTCCTCTGATGTCTTGGTGCCTCAGCAAGACCTTTCTCACTGTGGGTGCTAGTAAGCTGTAATATGCTAAAGGAAATAAAGCTGATTTACAGGCATTATGTCATACAGTTTTCAGGTCATGCAGGTGACTTTTTTTTTCACATCTTGTCTATACAGGGATATTCATGAATGTTAAAGCAAACCAGTCTCTGTATACCAGCTTCTGTAGGGGTATTCTCATTCAGAGAAAAACAGACCTAAATTTTACATAGTATCACTGATATAATTTATATGTCTGTACTTGGAAGCTCTGTATGGAGTAGTCACAATCAAGATAATCTTAACTTTGCTTCAGCTATCTAACCATTATTGTAGTGGTATTTCTAATATGATAAAATGTCTCTTGCAGTCTTGATATGACTAGGTTTTCAGGGAATTGTATCATTTATGCATTACCATTACTCTTTTCACCCTCATTAATTCCCCTGGAGACATTGTAATATAATGCAGAAGCATTGAAGACTGACCCAGTTATGACCCAGTAGAAATGGGTAAAGTCAAAGAATTTTGATGATAGCTTTCATCAAGCCTTAAACTACACCTATGATGATTTAAATTAAATTTATTATACTATCAACATAACAGATAACCAGAGAAAGTGCTATTGTGCCACTAGTAAAATAATGATTTTTGAAATGGGTATTAAATTGCTAAAAGTAAACACTGGATATTAATCCAAGCCTACGTTTTCACAGGCAAGTGAACAGGAAGTGTCAAACCCAGAAGTACATTTCACCCTAGCAGAGGTCTGCAGCTCTGCACACTAGATTTTCACAAATAAGTAATACTGGTCTCAATATTTAAGTAGGCAAGTTACACATGCAGCTTGTATGACTCTGCATAGTAAGTACTCTATTTGCCCTTATCAGTTTCTAGGACTCAACTCTCTGATATAACTCACAGACCCAGGAAAATTTAAAGCTGAAATAAGCACTTCATTTAAAATTCCCTGTGTTTATATATACTTTGGCTTAGAGTCTTAGAGCAAACTCCTCAGAAGTAGAATTTATACACAAATATTTTTTCATTACTTACTGTGAATGCCAGAATGTTAAAGCCTTTTATTTTCCAGTATGTATGAAGATAATTATAACATCGTATGGACTTGCTGAATTTCTTGGGTTTCAATTATTTATGTGCAAAATTCATAATTTGGATGCAGAAATCTAAGTTCAAACAAAAGGCCTACATTCAGCACTATGTTAAATAAATTTATATTCCATTTCTTTAAATGCATTTAATTATAAATTTATATTTTATTCTCCTTAGAACATTTTTTTTTTTGCAAACTGAGAAGCCTAGTTCATCCATTCAACTTTTAAAGTTTTGAACCAAAAAGTTTGCATATAAGCGTAAAGCCAGTTTCAGAGCAGATAATTGCACTTCTGACTTTCAGTTCTTTGTTTTAATCATTCCTTCCTATTTATCAGATCTTTAACAATGTCAACACAGGCAGTGATAGCGTGGAATAAGATTATTGTCACACATAATTAAAACCACATGGTTTTCCTAACTGCAAAGCAGGTAAAATTTCACTGAGATCTCAGCCATGTTGCCATTTATCTGTGCTGCTCTTTATCTGTCTGCTCCGTATCTCTGTTATTTATCTCAAGCATTTTTCTTTTTGAAACTATAATAAGTGATTTTTTTTTTTTTTTTGGTGTCTTTCCAATAAATGTTCACAATGCCCTAAAAAACAATCTCCAACTATACTCTTTTCTTTCTCTGGACTGCAAAAGCCATTGAGTACTAACCTGCTCGCTATCTCACATCTGAATTCAGTTCAAACTCACAGCCAGATTTGCTCAGCCTCTCATTGCAAAGGCACTTTACAGCCATCTAGAGATGCCTAGAGAGAAGTTTGGTGGCAATTAGTCGCAGAGATGGATCGAGCAGTCAGTCAGTAGGTGCTCACGTTGAACTGCACATCTTTCTTTCTTGCCAGATCGTTGGCTGTGACCACCAGCTGGGAAGTGCTGTCAAAGAAGACAACTGTGGGGTCTGCAATGGTGATGGGACCACCTGCCGGCTCGTTCGAGGCCAGTATAAGTCCCAGCTCTCAGCAAATAAACGTAAGCTGTCCCTTCTGGTCAAGTGCCATCTTCCCCTCTTAATGAAATACGCATTTCTTGCAAGCTACACTTCACTCTTTCTCAGGCGGTGGCATGGTCATGGTCAGTCTGATTGTCACCACAGATTCTTCTCTTGTGGGTTAAATTAGGCTTGCTCAGACTACAGCTCTGGCTGTGAGGGTGGACAGAGGATTATGGGAAGGTGCCACCAATAAATTTCCCATCTCTGTTAGCTAGTTGCTTGCAAGGAGCTGTGGAATGAGAAGAGCTGCCTCTACTCATTCTTGTCAGGCTGTACAGCTGGCTAGGCATAGAGAACACAGTCAAGACTGCTCTGAACAGTGGTTTATGCCACTCTGTGGCAGAGGGGCACCCTGGGGGGATGGTGCTGCCACCATGGCAGAGTATTCACTCCCAGACCTATGCCCACACCATGCCTGTTGGATGCTGAGTGTACTGACTCAGTCATGGGGTGGACTGAGGTGCCTGAGTCGTCAGGAGGTGGCTACATGGGCAGGTACAGACAGATATGGGCTTTACCTGCACACTGAGACAGCTTCGGCTCAGGGTGGTAAAGAACATTAGTGTGCCCCAGTGACAGGGTTAGTGTATCCTGGACGCCAGGCAGGCTTTTACCTTGGTTACAGCACCACAGATGGAGCTGTAGTTTTGGGAAGAGAGCTGGCGCATGTTTGAGCAATTTGAAGGAAGGGTAAAAAGATAGGAAGGAAGGGTGGAAGGAAGGAGAGAGGGAGGGAGGGAGGCAGAGAGGCAGGGAGGGAAGAAGGAAGGGAGGGATAACTCTCATAAGAGTTCCATTGCTGAGGCAGAACTGCACATTAGAGGGAAAAGGAATTATTTCACAAAGATGTAGGAATGGAATTTCACCTCATTGTTACTGTTTCTGCAATGTGAATTGATTCAGAACTCTCCAGGCTGCTTGAGAGATCACAGTATTTGTGAACTTTCTTGGCAAATATATCTTCCTATAAGAATAATTCATTGCTTTTCAGTTGCTTTGTGGTAAAAAGGTGCTACTCTCTCCTCTACTGAGGATAAAGACACTAAATATTATACACAGTACTAAAATTTCAGTGAAATATAGTCTCTATATTGAATGATTTGCTATTAATGTCATATAGGTAGAATGGTATATAGGTAGAAGAGCAGATGGCAGAAAGCATATTATTAGAGTGAGACAAATGTGAAAAAATGTCAGAGAATGGATTGCTTAAACATATTTGCGTGCCAATAATAATAATACAGAACTGAAGTAGCTAATCAGATTTTGTATGCACTCTGTATAAACTACGTGGCATTATTCTCTCTCCTGCTCCAGACATGCATGTAGTTAGGCAACACAGTATAAATTTCAAATATACCAAAAGTAAGCGCTCCTTTAAATTGGCTTTTTACAGTTTTAAAGGCACACTTATGGATCTCCTTCACATGTATGAATTAATATGAACTCTTTGTGTGTTTTGCTTCCAAACAGTTTATAGAATCACAGAATAGTTTATATACATGCTGTGAAAATTTGAGATTTTACATTTCGAAAAGCTTTTAAAAATCTACTCTGTGTTTATTTTCAGTGTTAATCTTCCCCAGGGTTGTTTAAATATCTGTCACTTCGGCACTTCTTCTGTGTCAGCATCTTGCTAAGTTGTCACTGTAAATGTACCTACATTAGCATATCTGGGATCAGAGCCCGATATACTTTCTGGAATGACTGGTTTATGTTTGGCTAGTCTATAGCTTAATTCCCAGCTATCTCTACAAAATAATCCTCATTTCTCAAGAATTAATGTCATATTTTGTCCATGGTGTGAAGAAGGTATTAAAAGTCTATGTGAGCCAGACTGCCATGGAACATAAATCAGAAGGAACATGTGCAGCAATGACCAAATATCAGTGGAGGTGTTCTGTGGACTCACTTGGAATTTTTGTTTGCCTAACAGAGCACGCATTCAAGTTTGAGCACTATGTGAAGGAAACTGGACAGTGACCTTTATTCCAGTGCTTTCCCAATAGTTTCTAAGTTGTTTGTATCTCAAAACCACCCCAGATACAGGGCTGAGCTCATCAAACTCAATTAATTTTCTCTTGGTGGCATTATCCAGTTCACTTCTCCATGCTGTTTATGTGAGAAGGATAGGAGCATACGAGAAGGATATTACTAGAAAGAAATTCATAGAGCTTTTAAACACTTAACACTTGCTATGGGAACAGCTTCTTCAGTATTTATAAGGGTATATAACTCTTCCAGCGGCCTCAGAAAGAGAAGCATAGCAGGGCAGGAGGCAACGTAATATTGAATTTTCTCCTGCATTTTTGTGAAAAAGGAAGCATCTGTGTCTATGTTCTTGTTTCTATTAAAAAAATAAATTAAAAAATTAAAAACTCAGAAATATCCTTTTCTCTTCATTCTAAGCTTGGGTGTTTCAATCTTTTTAAGTCTGCAAAAAAGCAATTCTTTCCTTTTTTTTCATATCGCATTTTGGAAAGAGTGTATGTATCTCCCTATGGAGATCAGTTATATTTAAACATGTTTCTCTGTATTCACCAGGGAGCTGGAGAGTTTATCCCACAAGTGGTTGGTGAAGTCTGCTGATCACTTTGTGAAAAGATAGTATTTCATTAAAAAAAGGATTGACATCTACTGCTGAAGTAAATTACATTTGAAAGAGAATTATAGAAATTGCTATGCTGAGACAGAATATTTATCTGATTAGTAATCAGATTGCTATGGTTTTCAAAACCAGATGCAGTTCCAGATTTCAGTTGAATATCAGTAGTAATGGGGAAATAGAAACAAATCCATTTCTCACCATGAAAACTGACAGACTATTAATACAACATCCATATTCAAAATCCAAAACCAGAAGAAACATCTCTCATGGGAATCTGGTATATGTACCTGATATATAACCTTTACCTTAATTCTTGCACTTACTTCACAGCCCTGGGCCACTGGTCTTTCAGTTATTTGGGACTCTCCCTCACCACCCTGTGCATCCCCTTGAGAGAAACCAACAACCCATTAATACACTTTGTGCCTTTTCTTCAGAGTGCATCACACAGCTGCTCCACAATCTGCCTGTCTGCTTATTGTTGGAAGGAGCTGTGACTAAATATTGCCATGCTTAATTCCACATGTCTCTTCGCAGGAAATGTCTCCTTCTTATCACTGTTAACCTCAGGAAATCATCCTTCAGTCCCTACTGCTTCTGCTTGTAAAAGCAGGAAGCACTGTGATAAGCATAAATCCCACTGAGATTTACATATCGCACAAAGTGTGCTAGGATTTCAAATAGAGAGAAATGACAAAATCAGGTGAAATATAGTCCCAGCAACACCCTGGAGCAGAAGAGACATCCTACAAATATATAGTATATAAGGTTGCATGATTTAAACTGTGATATATCAGGGAGTGATCAACTCTCCAGCACAGAGCTCATAGCTGAGAGACAGTCAAATATAATAATGACATGAGACTGTCTTTAAATAAGACTTGTAAAAAAAAAATAGTATTTTTTGAAAAATTGAAGTTATTGTTTATTCCATTCTCATTCCAATAAACATGATATATATATTATACAGCAAAATGATGTGTCATTCTCACAGATTTTTTTTCCCCAAAATGGATAAAATGTATTAATCCTACTAGGTATCTTGTATGTGACTGACAGAATAAAATAAGCATTAAAATAGCAATATTATATTTAAAGAATTTCGTAAGACTTGAATAATTGTCTTTTCAAATAGAAAATTTGAATTTTGTGTAAGAATGAAGGATGCCTACCTTGGCCAATTAATGTGATATCCAAGATGTGTATAAGCAGAATGTGTGCTGAATAGAGTTCAGCCCCAATGTTACAGAAGTCTTAGGAGATGCTGAAATTTCTGGATAGATTGAGGAAACCTCTCAAATCAGATTTTGAAAGAGGTGACAAAGCTCAGTAGAGCCTGCACTTCATCTCTATGCAATTCGTCTGACATGCAGAGATTTATCAGACTGCCTACATTTACCCCTTCACTTCTAGGATATTAAGAGGTCACAAAAGTATGGCTATTTTATCTCATAAAGCTCTCCAATATAAAAGTGGCAGAAATTCCTATGGCACTTAACTGAATTTAAAATTTAAAGGGGTTATAGTTCACATTTTCAAGACATAGGATTGAATGAATGAATGAATGTGGTTTTAGAAGTCCCTGTAGCTTTCAAAGTTTCCTGTAGCTTTCAATTTTTCTGTTGTCTCCATTTTTTACGTAAAATGACAACATTAATAACTATTTTGCTGGTAATTGAGAGTGCTGATATAGCTAGGCTGGAACAGTTATGCCAGTTTGGTCTGGTCAGAAACTTAAGGCCCCATCTCATATGTTTGGATGAAAGATAATATGTTCATAAGGGGTTAAGTTAGACTTACCTGACAAAGCAACGCATTGCTTTGGGAACAGAGCTATAGTTCTTGCTTGCAGTCATTACATGACGCAGGTGTGAGCAGCAATAACGAACAGAGAGTAAAAGGGGCTTCATTCCTCTCATGTTTGTCACCTCCCCCCAAAAAAACTCCTGTTAGGCATGCACACTTTTTCTTTCCCAACTTCTAATTATAGGAGAAGAAGGCAAAAAGGATAGGGAAATGTGAATGAAAAACTTAGGCGTGCTGGGTAGTCTAGGTCAGTGTTCTCTGGGCACTAACTCCACAACCCAGGCAGAGAATTAGGAACATTTTCTAGCATCTATCCACACCTTTCTTTCCTGTCTCCCTGAGGTTGCTGCCTCTTTAGAATTGCTGAACAAACCAACTTTCACAGCAGCATGTGACCTACATTCTAATTCACACCTCGGTTTAAATCCAGTTGCAAAGCTTCCAAGGGCTTCACAGGTGCAAGATCCTTCTCTAAGACCGGTTTACAGTCTAATGGGCTTCTGTTTTTCAAGGGACTTTCTGTTAATGGTGTGGAAAGGGAAGGAGAATTATAGCACTTCTAAACATTAAAATAAAAGGTGTGAGAGGGAGGCATGCCTGAGGGAAGTGGGGGATCATCACAAAGCATGGGCAGGGTTGTGAAGAAGCTGTGGTGTTCAACTAGGAAAGAGACAAATGAAGGAATGGGTGCTTCTGGTTTAACATCAGAATAGGCTTACACTTCTCTACTTCACCACAAACATCAATTCAAAAGTCATGGAAGAGGTTTAAGTGAACCCATGGTGAAATAGACAGCTATTGAGTTTGAAATCCAGAAATGATTGTGAAGGAGTTGGGAATAAAGAAAACCAAGAGGTTTTGGTTTTTCCAAGTAGAAGGTTCTTATCACATTTAAGGAGTTCTTCTACAGATTTGTGATGTTCTTTCATAATTCATAGAGTTGTTTATTTGGTCTAAAAGCTTTACTTTTGACTGGCTTACAAGTACCTATTTCACTGCTGGTTTGAAAACAGATGAGATTTTCTTTGCTTGTTTACTCCATGCATTTTTTGTTTTCCCACAGTGGACGATACGGTGGTTGCTATTCCCTACGGAAGCAGGCAAATTCGCCTCATGCTGAAAGGACCCGATCATTTATGTAAGTAGAAGTTAGTGTACTTTTATTTATGAAAGTCTTGCTAACCCGCAATGTTCTGTTTTCACTGTGGTATATAATTTCTCTCTCTCAGATCATTGATTTTGACACAGGGATGAGTCCTGCCCTCAGAAGTTCTCCAAGGACCTAGTTACACCAGTGTTACACACTCTTCAGAGCAGAGCTTAGCCAACATTGCAGAATTGTTTGCCCCTACATAATTTCTGTCATTTCTGTTTGCATGTCCTTCGGCTGGCTCACTTGGTGCCAAGTTGTTTTGTTACAAATTAATAAAATATATCCTACTGAATGAAGAAATATTGAGAACAGTGAAGTATAAGCTTCCCTACAGCTGAGCTTAGCCATCAAGCTGCTCATAACTTTAACATATGTTTCTGTTTTGATAATCACTCTTACTTCATAGATGGACACAAATGCAAGCATACACACACAAAAATTTGATCAGAAACAGCATGCAAAAGACAAACCCTGCTCCTTAGTAGTGATAATGCTTATTGCTAGAGTCAAGACCAATGAGTGCTGCTAGCTCATCATTTTGTAGATATAACACTTGCTTGCTTTGTCTGACAGGGAGCTCTGTATCCCTGCAGTTGTGTATGCCTCTTCTTCGTGAGAAGGGTTGCAGGATTTGAGAACACTCCAGGAGAACTGAAGGCAAATTCATTTATTTCATTAATAGAAACTCTGTGCATCCCTCTCTCTGGCTTTATAATGCAGTAGCTGCTCACAAGCTGTTCCTTATTTCAGCAGCAGCAAATGGACACTGCAGTGTTGGTAAATGGGATTTACTGCCAGGAAAGACAGAAACTGTACTTCATAACCTCTTAAAAGCACAAATTATTGTAAGATAAGTAGGTTTCCTGTTTTCCTTTTCCAAAACGTAATAGGAGTTTCCTGTAGTACAGACCAGTTAGAGTCCTTTAAGCTTGTCAGTATAAATAAAAACATTAGTGTCAGCAAGGAGGTGAAACACCAAACTATTCCTACCCTCTCCAGATTTCTTTCACCCAAAGAGCTTCTACTGAGTGGCAAAATGAGGGTAGGTTTATCAGTCCTGTTCTGTAGCTCACTGCTTGTGTTGAGGAAACAGTGGGCACACCATAATCTTTTAATGGTTCTTTAGATTTAGGGCTATGAATAAAGAACAGCAAATTACAGGTTATAAACTAAGAAAAAAAAATGTATAATGTTCTTCTTACAAGTTCAAATACTGCCTGCACTTCAGTTTTTGAGTGGCCCTTTGAGTATTCCTGAGCTACTCTAGAATGGTTGCTATTACTTTCCCAGTAAATGATTTGTACTCATCCTTTTTCTCCTGTCTTCTTTCCCAGTATAGATGCTTTCTTGAAGCTAGAAAAATTTCATACTTTTATTATTTTTTCAGTGAAATTGAGCTATAACACAGCTTAGAGAGAAATGAGATTTTAGCAGGAGAGATAAATCTAAAGCTGTCTTCGCTCAGGCCATATCACATTTTACAACAAAAAGATTTCAATGAGTGAGGTCTGCCTGAGACACTGGTTGAGGTTTAGATTAACTGCTCTGTGTAAACATTAATAACTCCAAATACATCTCTTTCTTGTTTCAGATGTCTCCACGAATCTTTCTGTTTACCCATCAAAGGATTTTATATATGTATGAGATAAAATAAGTTGAGGGGGAGGGAGTATTTTGCCCTATGAACTTTGACTGTGGGAGAAGTTAACAGGAGGCTGATTATATACAGACAAGTCTTAAAACCATCTCTATCCCTGATGCATGCAGTCTTGTCCAGAAATAAGTATTTGGCCAAGTGCATCACAAGGGAGGTTACTAGTCTCACTGAAAATGAAAGAATTCATTAATATGGAGCAAATTCTTAGCATGCTGCATCAGCAACTTCCTTCATGAAATAATTCCCATAAGCCATCCTGAAAAACACTCTCATTACTGTAATTATCTTTTCCCCCAAAATTAACAACTTCATAAGTGCTAATAAAAAAGTTTTTTCCACTTACTGCCTCTGAAACTATTATTCCATCACAAATTAATAGTATGTCCACATCTAATTAATATTTTGCCTTAGCTTCCTCTCTGTGTGGGAGATTTTATGCATAATTTCATAGATACTTGCGAAAGCATTAGTTTTGCAATCCTTCATGATGAAATGTGTTGTCATTTTGAAATAACTACCAGAAGCCGGTCACTGGTGAACATACTGTATAACATAATTTGGAGTTGGTGGGGAGGCTGGCTAGATGATGGAACACATCTATTTTCCAGCTGTTTATTTCTATTTAATCAATTATTTAATATGTTTTTTATGATTTAGCAATCAAAAGTAACTGCCACAAAGCAGTATCTTAATTAATGCCCAGTTTTGGGAATCTGTGGATGCAGAGATACAGAGGGAGAGCTCAGAAGGGTTTAGCACTCCCTCTTCTGCTGGAATGGATCAGACTACTTCTGGAGAGGAGCAAAGGACTGCAGTCATACTGATTTTCTTTCCTGGCTGTCTTGCTTTCAGTTAATGGTCTACCAGAGAACACGTGGTTAGTGACTGACCTTTGAACTAAAAGAGGGAACAGCAACTTAACAAAGCCAGTACTCATGGGTGAAGGTCTGAGTCATGCTCCACATAGGAGAGTGACTTACTAAGAGTGAGTTAAATAACCACAAATATGCCTAACTAGGAATAGATTAATATGTCTGGAAGAAAGTAAAAACATGACCTACTGGTGAGAACATGAACATGGATCTAGAAACTAAGGGTTGAACAGAGCCAAAAAGCAGATGGAGAACATGGAAGTATAGGAATGTGAATGAATTGTGGAAAAGAACAAAAGAGTTGCATTATCACTAATTTAGGAGGCAAAACTTTACCACCTCTGTTTTGTGTTGGGGCTTTTTTCTGCTCTTACTACAGATTATAAAGTTAATTTTTTTGCATTTGTCAGATTTGGAAACCAGGACTCTCCAAGGTGTGAAGAGTGAAAATAGCCTCAGCTCCACAGGCTCCTTCCTCATGGAGAATTCTAGTATCAGCTTCCAGAAGTTACCTGACAAGGAGATACTGAGAATACCTGGGCCTCTCACTGCAGACTTCACTATCAAGGTAAGGGCCATTGGTCATCGACCTCTTACAGCAACAAAAAGTAAAACAAGATGCATTGGAATGATTAAAGAGATTTTCCTAGACCTTCATTTTCCAGCTGACATTTACCAGAAAGCCTAGCTCTCGAACTCTATGTGAAATTCTTTATAGTGAAATATCTGATAACACTCCTTGGTAAAAAAAGACTGAGTTTATGCCAAGAAAGGCGTATCCAATGTGCCCCAAAGAGGAAAGATGAACTCATCACAAGAAAAGGCAGATACTTTCTGTATATGCTACTGAGGTACATAGAAATCAGGGACATGCAGCTTGCTTCATCTGTGACAAGTAAAAAGAAAGAAAGTCTGTGTCTTTGTTCCATAATTTCTGCGGTTTATGCTAGCGTTATTGCACAGAAGACTGTAAGGGAGTGGAGAATGTGGTCCACAAGCTCAAAAATAAATGGAATGACTTTGCTGTTCTGCTTTGTGCTGCACTGGCAATAAGAATAAAATTGTTTCCTCCCATTAAAGCATTTCTGTTCTTCCAGGTAATATAAAACACGTTGGTGGAAGCAATACACACATTCTGTGGGAAAACACACATACAAAACTGAACATTCGGGAATTACAATAAAACAAATCCTTTTCCAGTAGATCCAAGGAAGTTGAAGGATTTCAGCTGTAAAACTGTAAAACCTGAGTCATTTCCAGGACTACATACATTTTTCACTATGGACAGCAGAGGTAGATGACATTTGGTTTAACCTAGAGCTGATGGCAGCTACAAGTTTGAACAATAAACTGGAAAATGCAATAGATCATTGGGTTGGATTAAGCTGGTCTGGGCTGGAATGGTTTTGCTTGGGAAGTAGCAGAGCCCTATAGACTGTCCCTTACCCATCTTGGTAAGTTAGCAGCACAAAATGCAAGCAGACATTATCAGGACTGGTTCACAAGGACAAGCCTGGCCTGAAGAATGCATTCCCTTCTCTTTGAAGGTCAGAATGAAAATGCCTTAATAAAACATATGCTGGTCAATTCAAAGTGCCTAAACCACTTCTAGCTATATTACGGATGATGTACATCAGTGAGATGTAATCAGAATTGCTCACTTTTTATTATTTGTGCTGTCTGTGAATGCAAGGTAGCCTGGTTCATTAGAACATATCTGCTGGGGACAGATGGTCATGTATACCAGTGGCCCTGAAATGGTAACATCAGGGTTGGGTTGTGTTCCTGTTATTTCTACTGTTATCTTTTATGACAGGGAAAAAACCTTTGTCCCTTGGTCTTTGCATTTCCTTCTCTATCTAGCAAGGTAAGAACTACTGGTTAAACTAAAGGCAGTACCCTACTTGTGTGATGACTGCATGGCCAATATGAGAAAGCAAGCTGGATTAGGCACAGGTGGAACAGACACTGCTGAGTGGAGAATAAACTATTTTACTTGTTCTGTTATGTGCTTCCACATTTTGAAAGTCAGACTAACATACAACAAAGATATTCTAAGCTATTTAGTGGGGGGGTTTTAAACTAAATTTTTTAGCTTCTGAATATTTTGTTAGATTTTTTTTGATATAGAAGTTTACATACAAAAAAGACTAATACAGGAGAACCAAAATGCGTGAATATCTCTCAGTTATGTCAGGCTTGTCAGCTGCTTTCCATCCTTATTATAGGCTTCAGATTGTGAAGGTAAAGTACTTTTTTAAAAAAAAAATAAATTAAAGACTTTTCTGTGGTATTAGCAAGTTTTCCTTATGGATTGGGATCTTTCTGGTTGTCCAGATTTAATTTCCTGGGACAAGGCAGTTTTTATGCAAACATAAACGAATTTGTAGGTGTAGCAAAACTCTAATTTTAGGATCATTTTCTTGAAAATGACTGCTACAATGATTTTCAATTGACTCTGAATGTTCCTATTCAGAAATGACAAGTTAGACACCTGGACATAATTCAGAAGTAGAAAAATCTATGTGGGACTTGACATTTGAATTTCTTTATTGGTGACATGGAGTGTTTCAAAATTACATTAAGAAACCTCATGCTGTTTCTGTATGAGCTGAGTTGTATAATTGCTATATTTCTTGACTTTGTAATAATCAGTGGTACATTTCTCATGTGCTAAACTCTTGGCAATCTTTTCACAAGATACGTAAATGAAAAAAAACAATTCAGTAAAACAGGTCTCATTTAAAAAAATTAAGATATCTCAGAAGAAGGATTGGAGTTTTTATATTCATAGTTCGACAATTATATATACCCATTATAAACTTTTAATGTTTGAAAGGCAGACTACCTGAAAAAAAGGCCAGCAAACTTATATTCCACTTGAAATTTGTTCCTAAATCCTGAGTATTTCCCCAGTTTGAGGTTTTAATACAAAATTCAGATTCATGTACATAGAAACACCTTGTTTCTAACAAAAAAAAAAAATGTTATGTTTGATGAAATCCTGGCGAAATGAAGGTCAGTTTCACTTGGAAATGTTTCTGGCTAGCACTGTGCTCTAGAGAAGAAGGCGGTAATATCACACAGAGGGCCTCGTCCTTTATCGGCAGAGCTGCCACTGATCTGTTATGTTGACAAGGTCACATGTTCACCTGCCTGTGCTAAAAAGTCTCTTCTGTCGATAATGTCCATTTCAGACACAACGTAAAGAAACCTTGAGTAATTGTTTCATTGCATACATTTGCAGTCGTCCGAACAGGATGAATCAGTACTGTCAGCTGGGTCTATACTGGATAATGTAATGCAACAGTCAGCACTGGTTGACTGTTTAAAGCAATTAGCACTGCAAATATGAATGACTTAACAGTCTTACTGAAACAGCTGATAGGAATTGCCAGGGAAGGGTTAGGGCTGGCAAAGCACAGCCTGTTGGGTTTTGCTTTACATGCTGTGCTTTTTGCATAGCTAGGGCCCTTGCCCTGTGGCTGAGGTGTGAGTCAGCACAGACCAGTGGATTTAATGGAAGGTTTAGAAAAGGGTGTTGAACAGACTTGGGGTTGATTTGGAGGAAAAGCCACTGTTGGCCTAGATATAGACTAGACTAAATTAGGTTTATGTTGATTTTCAATCCCTTATATCATGATGAAGGTTTGTTCATAGGATCTTCATGGGCCAACAGCTTTGCATCAAGGATGCACAGGGTTGGACTGGATAAATGTTTCTCTGGAGGCTGTCAGAGGTATTTGAATTAGGATTGGATTTGTATTGCTACTGTCTTTTGTACTACTAGGGCTGACAAGCTTTGATTAAGGGCTGCTGCCGGAAGAGACTGTCTGGTTATCTTTTTTCCTTTGTGCTGGTGGCTGGGGATACTGCTGGCTGATTAAGAAGTGGTACAGACTGGGTTCCTGTGAGCAGTTACTGCTCAGATTAGGATTTTGACCACCAGTTGTCCAAAAAGTCATAACATAGATCTCAAAAATGTATGCTGAGTTATGCAGTGCTTTGCTCTAGAGTGAGCCAAACAATTCTTATCTCTGTTGTGATCTAGCACTGGCAGGAACTGCTGGCAAGAGAAATGCATTTGATTAGAGTACAGGTTAACAAAAGAAAATAACGTTGGGACTAAACATCCTGGGATTTGCAAGGGGAAGCAGGAGATAGTACATGTACAGGCAGCCAGCTGGCAGAGAGGTTCAAGGGCCATGTCAGACTGGGGACAGGTTTGGATTAAATAATCACTTCTGAACAAGGACCATACAGTGATTTACCTTGTGGAGTAAAATGAGAAATTATTTCAATATTCAAGTTAGGGCAGAAGGCAAAAGATGCAAATCTTCTCGTGCAGCAAGGGCCTACTGTTCATGGCTGGCTCACTGTTGAATTTTAGAGAGATTACCATATGAAGATTGGGAATTATGACAATATGGGTCTTCTTTGTAATTTATGTGTGATACTGGCAAGGGTTTCCAGAGAAGATTATGCCTTGTATTTGGGAGAAGGCTGCAGGTCAGGCAGGAAATTGTGAAGGATCTAGTCTTGGAAGTACTGGCAGATCTGGTTTGGCTGGGGCTCCAGAAGCAGATGAGCTAGAATGAAGGCTGAGCACACAGAAGTTTAGTTGTGACTGAGTCAATTTTTGTGTTATCAAGGTCAAATGGCCAAAACACTTTGTTTAATCTAGGAGACTATTGCAGTATAGTCCTTTCATCGTAAAACAATACTAGTTCTTGAGATATGTGTCTTCCTGAGGTCATGTCTGTAGAGTGCATATTGGATTTAGCTGGAAGCACTTCTGTAACATGGTCTGTGTCACTAGTTTCTATCAGCCTATGTCTGCATCCAATACTTTGTTTTTGCAGGAGTCATAGAAATCACCTATTCTGATTTCCTGATTCACAAAAACTATGTAACTGTTGTAATAATGTCTAGGTCAAGCTCACAAGTAACGACCAAACTGAAAAGAGACCTAATTGTTATTTATCTTGACTAGATCTTGTGACAATTTCAGAAAAATTCTACCATTTTTCTTGGCAAATGTAGTAAAATTTATAGAGAACCATGTAGTAGTCTTTTTGAAAACAATGCATAGATTCTATTTCATATCTTTTTTTTTCATTTCTATTCAATATAAATTATTTAGAATCACAGAATAGTTAGGGTTGGGAAGGACCTTAAGGTCATCTAGTTCCAATCCCCCTGCCATGGACAGGGACACACACACACTAGACCACGTCACCCAAGGCCCTGTCCAACCTAGCCTTGAACACTGCCAGGGATGGAGCATTTACCACTTCTTTGAGCAACCTGTTCCAGTGCCTTACCACCCTCTCAGTAAAGAACTTCCTCATGGCCCTCCTCTGGACTTGCTCCAACAGCTCCATGTCCTTCTTATATTGAAGACACCAGAACTGCAACCAGTATTTCAAGTGTGGCCTCATGAGAATTTCAATTACTAGTTCTTTGAACATGATCATTCTCCTAATCAATGTGTTTCATCTATAAATGCTGTCCTCCAGTCAGTTTAGTAATTTGAGCCTTTGTGGACAGACCATACCTAATTTAATT